CTCTCTCCCTTTCTTTCTGTCCCCCTCTCGGTCTCTTTCTATGTATCTCTCTGTCTGTCTCTCTCTCACTTGCTGTGTCTCTCTCTGTCTCTCTCTCTCTCTCTCTCTCTCTCTCTCTGCATTCTCTTCACTGCCTCATTAATTTTCTGCTACTGCAGTCACGTCACATATTTCACATACTTCCTAGTCCCTGTTCCCTAATCCCTACCACCTACTCCCTAGAATCACTTTGTAGTGCACTGATGTAAGAACACTAAGAGTGCTGTTCAGTAGTGTGTTTGGTTCACTGTCTGCTTTGTTTATTTAAATACCATTACAAACACTTCACAGTTGGTGTGTCCCAAACAAAACAAACAACATAAACACTTCACAGTGGGTGTGTCCCAAACCAATCAAACAACATAACAAACACTTCACAGTGGGTGTGTCCCAAATCACAGCTATATTATAACTGTACTCATCATCTTCATCATATTTTCAGAAATAACAATAAGACAGTGTCCAGTCCTGAACATCTGGATTTATGTGCAGCTGTGTTCTGCTCATGAGGGAGCTAGTGGTAGTGGTTAGAGGTTCTGGCTGTGGTCCTGATGAGATGGAGCTGAATGATTGATGTTTTTCTGACTCTGTGTGCTGATGTAGTGCCGAGTGTGTGTTTCTGATTATTTCTCCTAAATACACTCAGGGCAGAGGGGCACTAACTCTCGTGTTTATTACATGGGTTTCTATAGTGACTCTCTCTCTCTCTCTCTCTCTCTCTCTCTCTCTGATGACACACACACACACTTTCAGCCTCTTAACAAAACCCAGAGAACATAGCAATTTATAATGTTGTGTGTGTTTGCCCAGCTGGCCCTGCAGATGACAGAGGTGGATGGAGAAGTTCAGATTACATGGGGACTGGAACAGCTGGACCTGACACACCTGCAACTCACACCCAGTTACACACAGGTACACACACACACACACACACACACACACACACACAAAACCATGCCAGTTACACACACATATATGTTTGCCTGATAATAGACAGGTCTGTTCATGTTTTTGCTTTTGGGTAATATTTGAGATTGTGTGTGTGTGTGTAGGGACCTTCGGTGTGTGTGAGTGAAGCTGCAGTGAAGAGCACGCTGCAGCAGGTTCTGTGTGAAACGCGAGCCTCGGTGACTCTGAGCAGCCGGACTGCGCAGCCTGCAGAGCTGAAGGTACATCATTATCTCTCACTATTGTACTGAGGTTAAAGGTCAGCTAATGAGTCTATCACACTGGATACGAGTAGATTTATTCCCAAAAATCGCTCGTCTACACTGAAAGGTCTGAAACCACTCACATCCCTATACCACGCACACCTAACAACGTAAGACGCTTCGGCCTGCGTCATTTCCATCAGGCGTTTATTAAAAAATGCCATCTGAAGGTTGTACGAAGTGACTGTCAAACTGGATATCAGGCACAACAGCTGCAGCACAACATCGTCTGCCATCTTGTTTGTTTGAGTTGAACGGGTAAAAGTAATTCAAAATAACTTCCACTTCTGTTTTTCGGTCTTTACCCTGATCCCTCATTTCGTGCTCCCAGTGCACTTTACCTTTTATGGAGTTTTGTGGGCATCGCTATATACAAATGAGCTGCATTGGGGTCATGCTTTACGAAAATCAGTGTTTCTGAAACGCTTATTGTAAAGGCAGCAGACAATTTCAGTGCAGTGTGGATTAATACTTTCGTCTTTATCACTGTAATCTCTCTGATACATGAACGCACACATATACACCCACATATACACACACACACACACAAACTAATGAAAAGTGGTGTTTGTGGAGGAAGGAGACAGCCCTGTGTGTCATGGAACAGTCCAGTCTGACAGCAGAGTTCTGTGTTGCCAGATTGATCAGAATCACCCCTAAACTAACTGCCCTTCTTTCATAACACGACAGTTAACCTGCGTTTATTTCAATTATATTTATACAGACTGGTATTTTAGTCAGTGGCTTTTTATTTTAAACATTGGGAAAGGGTTAATCCTAAACTCCAGCGAACTGCACTGTTTGTAGATTTGCTGTTTTTAAGTTTATTAAACCCTCGTTTATTTTCATCTTTACTTATAATTTTTTTCTCTCATGATCACTCACTATTTAATTAATGAATCACTTTGTTCATAAACTTAATTTAATATTTCTAGGGTTATAAGTTTTATTAATCATTATTAGACTTCATCTTCTCTGAAGCTACACCGAGTTCTCTCATAAATACCAAAGTGGTGTTTAGAGAAGGAAACAGTGAAAGGATGTTATTTATCTGTCTCTGTGTGTGTGTGTGTGTGTGTGTGTGTGTGTGTGTGTGTGTGTGTGTGTGATGGTGTTTTATTTCCCGTCTCACAGGAAGTAAGGAACAGGATTTCGGAGGTCTCTTCTCCCCCTAAACCCCCTCGCGCTCACCAGTGGAAACTTTTAGTGAAGAACATCCGGTTCACGTACAGTCAGGATGGAGCTGCAGGTCATACTCACATACACACACATCAATAAATAACATCCGTTTTTATAGGAGAAATCAGTGTAGCTTCAGAGAAGATAAAAATAATTATTATTATTAAACACTGCAGCATTTGTTGTCAAACTGTGTGTGTGTGTTGTACAGGCAGTGTAAGTCCTCAGTGTGTTCTACAGTTAGATGATCCTCCTCAGAAGTTGTCCACCTCAGTGCTGAATAACGCGAGTGATCCGGTGTGGGATCAGCCCTTTATCTTGTGAGTACATTTCATTTTTTTAATTATCAGTATTTTTCACTTTTGGTTTTGTTAATATTTCATTTTATTTTTATTTTTTTATTTTGTCATTTTCTATTTATGATAAATCTTAGCTATTGTAGATTAGATTTTTTTCTGTTATTGTAGATATATTTAGCTGTTCAGCTTGTATTATATATTATTTATTTTATTTAATTTTGAAGGAGCTGTATATGATGAAGCTGAAAGTCCACATGAAATCAAAATGGAAGTTTTAAGGCTTTGAGTATGAATATTAATCGTCTTAAGGTTATCTATAAGCTAGTGCACTTCAAAACAATCACAAAATTCGCATTTAGAAGATATACTCATTAAAAATGTACAGTCTCTCTCTCTACCACCGATATGCATCAACAGTTTTGATGATGTCATTCTGCACTTCAGCTCCTCGACAGATTTTCTGTCCAATCAAATGCTGTCTACAATCTGAAATGCCCCACCCCGACATTATCCGAATCCTTGGTACTGGCTGACCAGTACGGCTCAGCCCAGGCCATGAGGTTAAAAGGGGGGCGGATCCACTCGTTAGGTCCCGCCCTGACTTCATTGGCACTTCATCGTCGGTATTTCATGACTCTTTTTATTTAAAGATTTGAAGATTGTATCCTCCTCAACAAAATTATGGAATTTTTGAATCCTCCGTTTTATTGGAATTCACAAAATCTGTAAAGGTGCATAGATTTTATTTTACAGGATATCACACGGCTGTTTTTAGGATACTCACTGTGTGTGTGTGTGTGTGTGTACAGCGAACTCAGTGGCAGGTCGAAAGAGCTGAACGTCCAGCTGTTGGATCATGGGAAACCCCCAGAGAGTAAGATTATTCATATTTACTAATATTTAAGGTTAAGTAGTCAATATAATGTAATTAAAAAACCAGCATTCAGAAACATAAGGAAACAAGCAAAACCAGTTCTTATTGTGTAAGCGGATTAAACATGAAAAGGTGTTAAGTGTGTGTTGCGTCGCCTGTGTTGCATCTCGCCTGGCAGGCTGTGTGCTCGGGCAGGTGTGTGTGCCATTTAACCTGGTGAAGAGGATTCCAAGAGGATCGCACACTTTCACACTGATGAACTCACACCAAGTAATCGGATCACTGACTACTGAGGTAGCACACACACACACACACACGATTTTATTCTAAATGTAAAGTTGTTTGCTATTGCTATGGTAACACAGGCAGCTGCTGGCTACTTATTGCCATGTGACGTTATCAGTTTACATTACGCTTTGAGATTCTGTGACATTTCAGGTTATGTTAATTATAGAATCGGAACGGATTTGTTAGCTTCATCCTCCGGCGTTTTGTCTGATCTGATCTCAGTCTGATACTGGATATGGGATCAGTGCCGTCTCCGTGGACGGAATGAGTGATCTACTTTAACTGTAATTAAATATACAGTATGTGTGCGTCTTGAATCTTTATTTGTTTGATGATTTTAATGGACCTGTTCAGCTTCTGTGTGACAAATGTATCATTTTTAAATATCTGATTTAATTATTGATATATTTTACACATGCAAGCATTTTTGTGTAAAGCTTATTGCATATTAAAAGTTTATGACATGGTTTTGCTTAATGCGGAGGTCTCGATGTTTTTGCGATCTTGATTTTTAAAAATGTTCTTAGTGAGAGTTTTGGCTCTAATTTTTGATCCAAATTTTTTAAAGTCATTCACGTCACTTGTTTGTTTGTTTGTTTATTTTGTCTAGCTGTCCTACCTGGAGCCGAGTGAAGTGCGCACTTGGCAGTCCCCTACTCCGGCGCCTACCAAACGAGTGGAGATGGACAGAACCGTGATGCCGTGTGGTACTGTCGTCACCACCGTCACTGCGGTGAGGAGCAGACCGGGACGTCCGCTTCCGACAGGTAACGTCCCAATTCACACTTTAAACACATGAAATTCGGGACTGTTTTAAACACGCCCACTTCGCCAGATTGAAGTCAACAGTGATGTAGCAAAACGTTTACCCAGAAGGCATTGCTGGATCCTAATGCCGTTTATGCGCACACGCGCGTGTGTGTGTGTCCTTAGAGATAATGATAATGAGTCTTTATTAATCACATATACATTTCAGCACAGTGAAATTATTTTCTTCGCATACCCCAACATGTTAGGAAGTTGGGGTCAGAGCGCAGGGTCAGCTATGATAGAGCGCTCCTGGAGCAGAGAGGGTTAAGGGCCTTGCTCGAGGGCCCAACAGTGCCAGCCTAGCAGCGCAGGGACTTGAACCCTCGACCTTCCGATCAGTAACCCAGAGTCTTAACCGCCAAGCCACCACTGCTATATATTACGTATAATATAGATATATATTATATAACACTTGTTGTATTGTACCTCTTGTGTTCAGAACCGATGAAACCTCCATCCATAGCCAAGCTGGCGGAGAGGCGGGTGTCTGAACAGCCGTCGGTGCTGGGAGCTAAAGTCAGCAAAGCCTTATCTTCATCAGATACAGGTACAAACACACACACACACTCACAGTACTCACTGTGCTGAACATTAAAGCCTTTGATACTAAAGGGGAAAAAATCGGTAGCCACAACAAAGAGCTTAAGTATGACCCAGATTACAGATGTACAGTATGTCAACTGTAAATGATAGTGCACAATAAAATTAACGCTTTCTGTGATTCTGATTTTACTATATGAGCTGCCTGTGAGATGTTTAGAAACAGCGCTCTCTAGTGGCTGTGCAGATGTGTGTTGAAAATCTCCACTGAGGACAATGCAGCTGAAATGCCTAGTCTAATTCTGTTGAGTTTTTATTTGTACTCAGTTTTTGGTGTGTGTGTGTTCTCCGACTATGACATCGTCAGTCATCTGAACTTCTCTGTGAACGAGTCCCCGCCCCCTTCATGTCGTCGTAACCAATCAGAAAGTGTGAAACGAGTATGGTGCAGCTCTGTTCCTGTGTGTTTCTCCTGTTCAGAGCTGCTGATGCTGAACGGGACCGACCCGGTGGCCGAGGCTGCCATCAGACAGCTGTACGAGTCGGCTAAGCAGAAACTCAAATCTCCTGTCAAAAAGAGCACCATTATCATCTCTGGAGTGGCAAAGGTCTAACACACACACAGTTATCATTAATATGACCGTTAATCAAAACCTTCAAAATAAAGTAATCGTTATGGGACAGAGGGACTCATCACATGTACAAACTTCTAGATATTTACCGTTTACTAAGAGATCTATAGAAACCAATAAAATACACTCTTTATTGGGGTCAAATTCGTTTTTTTTTTTTCTTTCTTCCTGCTGGAATTTCTTGTTAATGATGGCGGCTCTTAGACTCGTATCATATAAGATATAACCTCAAATAAGACACAGTATTCACAGAACCATGCATCTGAACTGAGGAGGTAACAAATTTTATTTATTTTTTTATTTTTTTGTTGAATTGATCCCTATTCGGATGGGATTCAATGTGCATGTGGTCCTGGGGTAATTTCCTGGGTGCTACTGTGCGCTGTTTAACACCAAACTTGGAACTCATCTGATCATTTTAGATCGGATATGCATGTCTGTGGTTGTCGTTGCAAATGCTGCTTTGGGTCTGACTGCACATCAGTGCCTCTCCCCCAGCTATTAAACACTTCCCTGGTTACAAAATGAAAACTGGATGCTTTAGAACAATGGTTCTCAGACTTTTTCAGCATGAGGAAACCCTTGTGTAGGATGCATCCCTTTTTGGCCTCTTAGAGTCGTCACATTTATCGCAAATTAGTTTTTTTTTCTAGGCTTCTGTATTAACGTCTCCGCTAAGAGACGACATCCATTAACTAAAAACTTCTATTTGAAATAGTCGTAGGTTTGATCAGCGTGTGTCTAACAGTATGTTAGTATATCGACGGATGTCTCTGTTTGATGTGTGTCTTAGTGTAATGTTTATAAATTATCTAATTTATTCATATTTCTCATTTTTATGTACATCATAGTTCAAAGTTTGGCAATCCCGACTTACACATAGGTAAAATGTATTTATTTATTTATTTTTTTAATGTTCTATAATTTCTATCCGCCCCCCTGGCGCCATCTTGCGGCCCCCCCAGGGAGCCCCCAGTTTGAAAACCACTGCTTTAGACAGTAGAAAATTTGCGTTGATTATTTATGCAAATCTTGATGGATAAACGTATCCGACAGCACGCCGCTGCAGGAAGTGATGTCATCACACAAAGCATTATTGAATGAATTATTGAATTGTCTGCTGACAGAAAAGTGTGCAAACATTTTTAAAAATGAATATTTCAACATTATTAAGTGAAACATGATGAGTATGAAAGCTCACTGAAGGTCTTACAGTCAGGGCCCGGTCTCTGTGGTTAAGTCTGGCACCTGTCTCATTTCCCCACTCAGGCGCCTCTGTCTCAGGACGAGGAGATGACCCTGATGGCCGGCTACGCTGCAGCGATGGACGCCTCCATGGCCGAATCGCCTGAGTGCGCGAGGCAGGAAACGGAGACACTCTCTGAGCACTGCGTCTCGGACGCGTCCGATCCATTGGAGGGTCCGAGCGGAGCAGACTGGGAGAGTCAGACCGGAGAGGAATCGGACAAGGCCTCGCTCTCCGTCAGCGTCTCCGAGACCGGATCCAAAAAGGGAAAAAGTACGACATCTTGTGCTTTAAAAAAAAAAAAAAAGTTTTCTTCCACACTTTAGTAGTAATACTTCTCTTTGTTGTGTTGTGTAAACGTGATGGTGAAAACTCTCTCTCTCTCTCTCTCTCTCTCTCTCTCATTCTTTGACCACGCCCTTCTTTCTTTTCCCTCTTCCTGTCATCTCTCTGCCGTCTTTAAGAGGAGAGCAGTGGTTAGCAGACTTTAATGCTGCCCGAGTAAGTGCACTCTCTCAAGGAGTCGATAGCGATGTAGTCATGTAGACTTCCCCTAAAACAGTAGTGTCTTTTTGTAGTGTAGTGCAAAGCAAACCCAGTCCACCACCTTGTTTTCATTGATTATAACGCTGTAACCTGATTGAACTCCACCATGCTGTAGAGCTGAGGTGTGGGCTGGCCCTGATTGCTTTTATCCCTCATATCTCTCCATTCATCCTTCCGTTTTACCACATTTACCACAATTTTATTTAAAACATCCTGTGGTTAAAGATGCTGTATTACTCGTGTTTTATTTACACTCCATCTCTCTGTGTAAGAGTTTCTCTGGAGGTTATCAGGTGACTACAGATAGGAACGATCAATAAGATACCACTCGAAATAAATCAAAGCAATTATTGAAATATCTGATTTAATGCTAAGATGTAACCCAAACACAGGGAGTGCTAATACTTTAATCCTTTGCGTAAATGAAGAGGCGTACGGTTGTAAGGTGTGAAGATTAATACATGTCCTCGTAGACACGTTATTTCATAATTCTGAAATGAACACATTCATACATGAGCTCACATACGCCCACGATTGGCTAGTGTATCTGTGATTGACAGGAGAGAGAGTGTGCATGGCCCTCCCTCCCGGTTGTACTTCCTGGCCTCCCGACCAGTTGTACTCGCGAGCTCCGTCCCCTGGAAGGCCGCTGAGGAGAGAACTTTTATTTAACAATGTCCCAAATTATAGATCAACAGAAATCCAAACTCAGGCTAGGCTTGGGGCGTGTAAAAAAGATATATATTATTTTATTTATTTATTTCTTTACGGCAGGGGATTCCTTTCACTATAAAGTAAAAAATAGTCCACAGATCCACATTTTTTTTTTTTTTTTTTATTTTTTTTTTTTTACACTTAACTTATCACTCAGTTTAATTTTGTCATTAGATTCCACTCTTGTGGTCTTGAGTCCCGTTCACTTCCTGTGAAGCTTAAATGAGCCTTCTTTAATGAGCCGTGCGTTCTTCTTTAATTGCGGCCTTACGGGTGAAACGAAACTGCTCGTGAGTGTTCACATGTAAGTTAACTATGTTTCTCTGGTGTTTCCCTGTGCAGGCAGCTTCCTCCATAAGGGTGCCCGGCTGTTTTTCAGGCGCCGGCAGCAGAGGAAGGAGCCGGGGATGAGTCAGTCCCATAACGACCTGCAGTATCTACAGCAGGCCGAGGAGAGATGCACGGCCACCTTCAAGCGCATCCTCAACCGCAAACCACTGCACAAACATAAGAGCAAAGCCAACGGCGTCCAGATGTCAGACCCCCATCACCCTCACTAACACCCTCACACACACACATTCTCACACACTCACACGCTCTCTGTCTCCAAAATGACACTCAAGTTCCAAGCGGTATTCCACTGCTAATCCGGATAGACACGTTGAACCTCACACTAATCTTTACGCTAATCCGCACACCCTGCCCGTCAGATGGACGTCCATGATACGTATCGAAGTCACGTGCTACCGCTGGGGCAATATATCGGGATGACGATGTACCGCGACGAGGTATCTGAAACTGTTATATCGTTACTCTCCATCTTCATATCCATCCTCAGCGGATATTCATGCTAACGGGTTTCTGACATTACCTGGGTGATAAAGTGGTGAATATACTAATCCTGCGTGCTAAAGTGTGTATTATAATCTGATCACATGCAACGACGTGACCTTTCTGATAAAGATGGCCACCTGTAAACGTAAAGAATCTGTATGCGCTCTCTCCCCCCCATCTCTCTCTCTCTCACACACACACACACACACACACACACACATATTATATGTATATATATATATATATATATATATATATATATATATATATATATATATATATATATATATATATATATATATATATATATATATATAAAAATTTGGTTTGCACATTTGTTTGTATGCAGTTTTGGGAAACGGTGGATGAGGATGAAACGGGCAGGTTTAAAAAAATATATTTATTTATTTATTTTTAATTAAAATAATGCGACGTTGAAAATGCATCCAATTCTGACCAGCCACGTTTAACCTCTTCATATTTAGACCCAAAATCAAACCGGTGCCTCATCTCGCTCTGCGTCCACACTGACCCGTCGACGATGTCACTTCCGGGTCGTCCCCTGTGGGTGTGGCCTTTCTGTCCCATCTGTCGAGTTCCCAGTATAAAATAATAGAATCCAAAATGCACACCACCTACTGTACAGTTTATATACATCACAATGTTAAAACTGCTGATTAACAATGGGTGTGGGCTGAATAACAAATAATTCCAGAATTATTGGCACCGTTTATCATGATGATGATGATGACACAAAATATATGTATATATTATATTCAATAATTCAGGTTCAGTGCTGTTATTCCCTGCATGGAAGGCTTCACTAAACATTATTTAAAATTGTACCGATAACTAAAAATTC